TTCAAGTAAGCAAAATATTTACATACAAGCCTCTTACATTTCCACCCCTCTCCAAATAATATTTACTATAGAAAATAAAATAAGCAATCACACGGCCTCTTGTGAAAATAATAAAAGTTTAAAGGCTAAAAAAGAGATTTTACAAGTGAAGGAGACCAATGGTATTGCACAGAAGTTGGAGGATGAAAAATGAGAGTTTAAACGCTTCTTTAAGATATATATAAAACTTAACTTTTGAGGTGACGGAAAACTGAGGATAAAAAAGCATTTGTTGACGTGGAAACGGAAAACATGCATCTAGAAATCCTAAAACGGAGAAGAAAACTTAAGAGAGCACAAACGGCGCGGAGAGTACCCAAATGTAGCAAGCTGAGCGAGGAAGAAGGGATAATGCTTCAGAGGAACGAGAGCCAGTTTATAAAGCACGCGATTCCCTACTCCCAGCACCACCGTAGCCGTAGCCGCAATCGCCACTTCCACCGTCCGATTTCTCTCTCTCGTCCTGCTATCCATCTCTTCCACACTCCGATCAACGACTCTCCGATCCTCGAATGAGTAAGAGCACGCTCCCGCCTTCTTCGCCACATCTCCGCCATCCGATCAACTGTCTTTCTCGTCTTCAATCTCTACAAAGTGAGCCTGGTTCCGCCGTCGTTTGAGGTGATGGCCGTCTATATTCTCTCTTCCCCTGCAACTTAGCTGTCGAATGGTCTTACTCTGTCTTCTGCATCTTCAATTTGTAAGCAGCTTTCTCTTAACCAGCGTAAATCAATCAAGAACAAGAGAGTTAACATTACATGTTGGAATTGAATTACATAGATTTCTCATCAATTGAGACTTACCTTCTAAAAGCCCTAACTTTTTCTCTTCCTCCTTCCTGAACCCAGAATCCATAGACAGAGGAACTCTCATTCTTCACTCTCAAACATGTTCTTCCACATAGTATTGGAGCGCAACATGCAGCTGCATCCGCGCCACATGAGCCGCAACCACCGTGAGATCCTCGTTTCCAAGCTCATGAAAGATGTCGAGGGCACTTGCAGGTTTTTGTCTTTTTATTTTTATTTTATTTTATTTTAGTTCTCAATTTCATTTGTTTGATTATTTGAGAGATCAATGCTAGTGAATATGCTTAAAATTCTCTACATCTCACCGTCAATCCTTTCATTGTGACAACCAGTGTTTATGGTGTAAATTGCTGAATTAATGTATATTCTCTATTCATAATGTATGTCACTGTACATAGATATATACACAAAAGAACTATATCAGAATCGTAACTTAACTAACCTTGTGCCTAAAGTCTAGGAGAGTTATAACTGTACACAAATATGCTCCTGATTCCGAGAGATTTCTACCAGAAACTATTTATACCAGATACTTTATACCAGATACTGTTTACTCTCCCCCTCAAGCTGGTGCATAAGGGTCATGAATGCCCAGCTTGTCCCGCATCAAATAAAAACTGTCCTTGGCCAATGCCTTTGTGAAAGTATCAGCTGGTTGATGAGAGGAAGAGATTGGTAATGTGCAGAAACAATACCAGCTTGAAATTTCTCACGCACCAAATGACAATCAATTTCCAAATGTTTTGTCATTTCAGGAAAGACAGGATTGGCAACAATGTGGCGAGCTGCCTGATTATCGTAGTAAAGTGGTGTGGAGCGAGATTGGCGAATACCAAAATTTTGTAATAAGTTGTGAAGCCAAATGACCTCTTTAGTGGTAGAAACCATAGCCCTATATGAGTGCCGTGGGTCATCATGTATTGAGAAAAATTGTCATCTCTATGAGGATCCACTATTGCTTTGAAATTTTCCATGTATGGAACAGGCAAAGGACCGAAAAAGTCATTGTCGGAGAGGTCCAGGATTCGTAACTTGGGAAAAGATAGACGTTCTTTGGTGCTAACTACAAAACCATGGAATTTATTTGACCTCAAAACCGGCACTCTTAGATTTGCTATCTTGTTGTCCCCAAAGTTTAGAACCTCTAGCAAGCTACAATTCATCAAATATCTTGGCAACAAGCCTTCCATTTTATTTCCATACAAGTTGAGACTTTGCAATCCATAACCCTCTGGAAAGCTAAATGGTATATCTCCATCAAAGTTATTGGCATGCAAACTCAACACGGAAAGACTTTTGCTCATCAACATTTGGAGATAGTTTGGAATCTTCCCACTTAAATTGTTAACAGAAAGGTCAAGAACTTGAAGATCATTTGAATGTCTTAGGAAGTTGGGGAATTCACTCAAGTTACAAGAAGACAAAATCAAATGTTTTAGTTTGGGAAATGTGAAGTCAGCATCAACATTGATTCTCAAAGATAGATTGTTGTTTGAAAGAATGACGGATTCAAGACTTTGAAGCTTTGAGAACACATCAAACTCTACAAAACCACTCAAATTATTCTGTGCCAAATCCACGATTGTCAATGATTTCTGATGGAATTGATTTATTTGATCTTGAAGAAAGTTGCAATTGGGAACCAAGACCTATAACGAAGGTAGACTGAAAACTCAAGGTGGCATTGATCGATTAAGTGAGTTATGAGATAGGTCTAGGTGGGATAGTATTGAAAACGTGCTCCCTTGAAAAGGAATGGGACCAAAAAGCTGATTCTTTGAAAGATCAAGAAGGTTAAGTTACGTGACATTTGTAAGTGATGATGGGATTTGACTCCAAAAATTGTTATGTCGGAAGTTTACAAGAGTAAGCTTAGACAATTTCCCTATTGAAGCTGGAATGGAACATTTCAAGTTGTAGCTAAAGAGAACCAAAGAACCTAATGACTTTAGATCTCCTATTGACTTGGGAAATTCCCTCCCCCCACAATCCTTGCAGTTTATTTCATATGGCAGGAAAAAAAGGGAAGAGCTTTAAAAAATGAGTAAAGTTACAATTCTGCACCTAGTTTCAGTTAGTCTCTTAGCTACTTAGTTGAGTTAACATTAATGCTTTGTCATTAATTTTCTGTAAACCTGAAAATGCACAGGTGAAAGCCTCGTGTATAGCCCCATATGGGGAATTTTGGATTAATGGAGTAAGCTTAGATAAGTGTTTTAGGACTCATCCACTGGTCCAGTTAAATAACCAAACAAGAAAGGAAGTCATAGAATACACAAATCAAAACCAACTTGAAAAAGAGTGATGATGTGAATATTGTACTAAGCACACAGAAAGAAGTCTACCGGGCAGATCATGCTAAAGGACAGCTTCAAATGCAAAATATTAGTTTAATTACAAAATAACATTCAAGAATGCAAAAGCTGCAATTGGCAATTAGGTCTTTAGAATTGAAGAAACTATGAGGTCCATGAAAAGTGAACAAGTTATGTTGAACAAATTAGAGGAAGAAACTCAAATGGATAAAAAGTGAAAACAAAGAGTACAAAATCATTGAACAAGACAAGGAAGCCGTTATGT